GCTGTCCTCTCCAGGGACAGATGCACTCTTAAGACCAGACAGCTGTCCTCTCTGGGGACAGATGCACCCCTGAGACAAGACCGCTGTCCTCTCTGAGGACAGATGCACCCCCATGACCTGACCGCTATCCTCTCCGGGGACAGATATACCCCTGAGACCAGAGTGCTGTCCTCTCTGACGACAGATGCACCCCCGTGACCTGACCACTGTTGTCTCTGGGGACAGACGTACTCCTGAGACCAGACCACTGTCTCTCTGGGGACAGACGCACTCCTGAGACCAGACTGCTATCCTCTCTGGGGACAGATGTACCCCTGCGACCTGACTGCTGTCCTCTCTGGGGAAAGATGCACCCCTGAGACCTGACTGCTGTCCTCTCTGGGGCAGGGCGGCGCCTCTGCCACTAGTAAAGCTGCTCACATCATTCCTAAGTGTCTGTCTTAGAAGAGATACTTCCACCCTGCCCAAATAACACCAGTTATCTATGATGCTGGAGAGTAAGTGCTCTCTCTACAGCCAGGGCACAACACTGACCCACACCCAGCAGGAGACCCCCATGTCTGCAAATAAACTATAGATCCCGTGTGAAAAGCTTCAGGAGCAGAGTTCAGGAGACTGACTCACAGCACCAGCACTGGGCGGGCCCTGTGCACAGAACTGGGTGGTGGGTGGGTGGGGGGCCTTTGCCAGCTTAGTAGAGGAACAAGGTCTATTTATGGGGAAAGACAGTAGGACAGAAAGATACATTTAGTAGAATATAAAAATTTTAAGTTTTGTATCCATATATCCTATTCACAGCTATGATGTCTTTCCAGACTTCTTGTGTGTGAGTGTGCACGTGTGTACTGTGCACATGTGTGTGTACGTGTGTGCGTGCATCGGGGCATCACAGAGTAGGGAGCAGACCGTGTGAGCTGTGCTGTGCTCTGAGCTCCCTATGTGCCTTGCACTGTACCCTCCCTTGCTCCAACCCAGACACGTGCCCCCGCTGCACACGGGCTGCAGAGCCTCATGGCCAGACCTGCCGTGAAGCTGACTAGCAGTTGGCCACAGAGAACTTTGTTTAGTGGGTGGCTCTGTTCAAGCAGTAAGTACACAGGACCATAAAATGCTTAGCAGATCCCATCCAAAGGAAATGGCATTCAAAGTAAGTTTTTAAAAAATAACAATTTAAACAACCTAGGAATTATGAATAGTTTTTATTAATTTTACGTCTTTTGAATGCTCATTACTAAAAGCTTTCATTATTGCCCACATACTCATCAGGGAATGAAACCTTTCCTTTCATTTGAAGTGTTTTGACAGGGCTTGTGAACACAAGAAAGGAGGGGCCTCCAGGGGAAGCCAGCACAGCAGGGATGAGGCCCTGGTGTCCCCTGGAGAGGGTTTATTTTTAGTGAGCTGCCTACAGGCCCACAGGTATCACAAACCGGATGGCAGTGAGAACCATTTCTGCAGAGCACCTTACAACATCAAATTACTTTGGTTTAAAGGAAGTACACTGGCCTTTAGAGACACTGTAGACAAATCAAATAATCAATCAAGAATAAATAACAATGAATAATAATAAGTCAAGTACAAAAAATCATGCTACACTTCTTTTTTGCATTTTGTCTTCATTTTACAAGAAGGGCCTTCTGTGTTAGGAAGTCTAAAAGTCCAGTGGCCAAAATACCTTTTATATCGCTTCTCGGCCTTTTGGCTAAGATCAAGTGTGCAAATTACCTTTTATTTTCAACATACCCTCCCAGCTTAAAGATCTACAGCCCATGAGAGGCCAAAGTGCTGACCCAGCTTCTGGGCCAGAATCCCCAGACACAGCACCAGGTCCTAGGCTTTGGGGGGGTTCTCAGACAAGCCCCTTGTCAAAACTGCACAGTAGGTGCAGCGTGACTAATCCTGCACACAGCAGGTGTTCAATACCCTCTCCAAGTGAGTGGTTCTGAAAGTCAGTACCCCAACAGGTCCCCTGGTGACAGGCTGCATGTCTAAGATACTGAACAGAAAAAAGGACAAGACGCAATGTCAAGAAAGCAGCTGCAAGGTTATTTAAAGATCACCATCTTCTATGGTCCGCAGTAAAACTGTGAAGTGGCAAAATTAATCCTGGAGGAAGCCCTGCCGCTCCTTCCTCCTGGGCCTCCCTTGGCCATGGATGCCCTGCCCTGCTTCTTACAGCTGCGACAAGCGACCTGGGAACATACAGCCCTACCCTGAGTGCTTCCTCCTCTGTCCACTCCTGACGATCCTGATAAACTAATTTGCACTCAGGTCTAAATAACGGATGTAGCTAAATCTGTTCTCTCCATCAGGATTCTTTATTTTTTAATAAAAGACATAAAAATCAATCTTCTTTTTTTAATGTCTTAGGATACTGCTGCAGCTGTGTGGACCTTCTAGTGCCTCTGAAATTGCAGGGCAGTGGCCACTCCTGGGGTCTTCACATACCAGGCTTTGCCCAAACCTGGAGTCACATACTGGCCCCACAAACTCCACACTGAACCCACGATATAGTCTTAGCCATCATCTGAGGAAAGGGGACCAAAACATAAGTTTAACTCCATGCTCTGGCTGGGCTGGAAGGAAGGCCAGCCACTCCCTGGAGATGCATCAGGCATGGGATCCTGCTCCCCATAGTGTAGAGGAGAGTCCCAGACACAGAGTGGCCAGCTACATGCTTACAAGGTTACATGGAGGATAAGAGTCTAAACATCTGTGCCCAGGTGGAGACAAGTTAGCACTCACCAAGTGTAACTACAGCTTGAAGATTTGCCTACAGCCAGTGCTGGGCCACATGCCTGGCCTGGGATGTGTATTTCGTTCTGGCTCCTCTGAAGGGATTTGCAAATGGAATTATTTAAATATGTTTATCATTAGCAGTTTAAGTAAGTGGCATTTATTTAGGCAGAGATTAATTTGTAACTTGGCAGCTGTTTTCAGACAGAGTGTTGTCAGGTTATCGCAGTGACTAACCAGGAAGGAAGGAGGAAGTTTACAGGACATTGCTTTCAGGCCTTCAAGTTCAAGTTTCTGTTACAAGGCAAATACATTTTTGTCAGCACCTGGAGACGCTGGGCCCTGAAAGCTTTGCAATGTTGGCATTTTTGTGACCTGATTTCATTAACACCCCCACATGCAGGGAGTGTTCTTTAAAATGTTCTTTTAAAGAAATTCTTTGAATATACTCTTTGGCTGATTCTGTAAATTGGAGTACATTATAGAAGTACAGAGTACTTCTATACAGAGTACATTATAGGAGACCACAATATTCTAGAAAGAGCATGAACACAGGTTGGGAGGCACAGGCTCAAATCTCAGTTCAGATCACTGAGTGCACCCTGGCTCTCCTCACCTGGAAGACAAGGATACGTTGTAGCAAGGACCTCTGAAGTCCTTTGGTAAAAACCCATGGGCCTCTGAAAGCCGCTGGGCAGCTCTGAGTCTTGTAGGTTGTCTGTGACCTACAAAGACCACCTGCCTCTGTGACCAGTCCCAGTCTGGAAACAAACAGTCCCTAGACCACCTGCCTCTATGCCCATCCCAGTCAGTCTGGAGACCCACAGTCCATAGACCACCTCCCTCTGTGCCCAGTCACAGTCTGGAGACTCCACAGTCCCTAGACCACCTGCCTCTGTGCCCAGTCCCAGTCAGTCTGGAGACCCATAGTCCGCAGGCCACCTGCCTCTGTGCCCAGTCCCAGTCAGTCTGGAGACCCACAGTCCATAGACCACCTGCCTCTCTCTGTGCCCAGTCCCAGTCAGTCTGGAGACCCACAGTCCCTAGACCACCTCCCTCTGTGCCCAATCACAGTCTGGAGACTCCACAGTCCCTAGGCCACCTGCCTCTGTGCCCAGTCCCAGTCAGTCTGGAGACCCACAGTCCCTAGACCACTTCCCTCTGTGCCCAGTCACAGTCTGGAGACCAACAGTCCCTAGATGACCTGGCTATTTGCCCACTGCAGTTTGGAGACCCTCATTCCCGAGACTACCTGCCTTTCTTCTCAGTCACAGTCTGGAGACCCACAGTGCCCAGACCACCTGGCTGTTTGCCCATTGTATGGTCTGGAGACCTGTGCTCCCTTGACCCCACTGCTCTAATTTTATTGCTTGACTTCCAGTCACAGTTCATTACAAGAAATGTCACTTGACACTGCGGCCATTAACAGGGCAGTAAACGATAATTAGGTTTGATTATTGGTAGCAGAATAGAAAAAATGGGGGCTTCTTGGAGGAGTCTATTTGAATACTGCTTAGCAGCGCTCAGTTTTTTAGCAAATTTCTAGTTTACAACATAAAGCTGTAAGCCAGAGGTTGCGTGTATATGAGGCTCCATGGGACCCCACTGAAGCACCTCAGAGAAGCTACCTGCATCCCCTTTATTCTCTGTTGTGAAAAAGAAACTCCAAGTAATTATACTCTGAGCAATGTAGAAATGAGTAAATATGATTATTCTTGATCAGGAAAAGATGACCCCAGACAACAAATTCATACACGTATCTTGGTTTCTTTTGACATCAAAAGCTATTCAGTATATATACTTTGCCAAAAACTGAACTCTAACCATAATGGAAATCTAATTTATTTTCTAATAAGAAGCAGCAAGAGTAAATTTTTTCAACATTTTTTTTCCACAAATAGGAAGATCATTTTATAAAAGATTCTCACCTGCGTATCTTATAATTTTAAAGTCAAATGTTTTCCAGTTCTTCCTTTGGGTCACATAAATCATGAATCCAAAGGCTTTTGAGAATTCTCCCCTGTGAGACTCAGGGGGAAAGAATAGGCAATTTTGAGGCACAATGTCAAGTCTTACCTTGAAATCATACGTGGCATCTGGGTTTTCATCACAGGCAATTACTTCTGGGGCCATCCAGTAGGGGGTTCCGATGAAGGTGTTCCTCCTGCCCACCGTCCGGTCTAGCTGGGCACTGACCCCGAAGTCCACTGCCGAGTGGGGGAAAGTGTGTGATCTCAGGTTTTGTGCCATGATACCCTGAATGTGTATTTCTTATTGTGGCAAATTTGTACGTGGCAGTCACCATTCTAACCATGTGCATAAATGCACCGGCGTGCTCTGGGCAGCCACAGCCTCCACCCTCTGGGAACGTCTGGCCTCTTCAGTGAAAGCTCAGCACCACTCATGGAGGCTCCAGCCCTCCCTCTGCCCTGGGAGTTGTCACTGCCTACCATCTCTGTGACATGGCTGCACTCATGTGAGTAAGTGAAGCTATGTAGGTTTCCTTTCTGTGACTGGCTGATTTCACCCACAACAATGTCCTCAGAGCTCATCACACTGTGGCAGGTGTCACACTTTGCTTCCTTCTCAGGGCTAAGTGATATTCTGCGGCACACAGAGACCACCTCTGGTTCACTCACCCACCGTCAGTGGGCACACCTGGGTAGTTTTTACCTTTTGATACTGTGAATGTGTATTTTTAAATTGTGTGTGTGAGTGGATGATGTGTGCCAGTAAGAAAAGCACAAAGTGTTATTATGATTGGTTAAACAGAGGCTGCACAGGGACAAAAACAGGATTTAAAGCTTCAGGAAAGGCAAGCCTGGTTGCTACAAAGGATGGTATTTAGGGGCTACAAAAAAAAAGTGACTAAGAGTCACAGTCCGGAGTCAGACTGCCTAATTTGCATGTTCTTTCTGAAACTTACTGTTGTGACCTAGGGCTAGTAGATCAATCTCTTCAAGTTTCACTTTCCTAATTTGTAAAATGAGGGTGATGATATCTACACAGCACTGCTCTGATGTTGAAGAGGGATAATCTACTTACAAGTGTCTTATACAGGGCCTGGCCTATGATACACTCTAACCAAGTAATTAGTGGCAGGAGAATGTCCTAGGATGTTTGCTTACAATGCACACTTTTGTTTTAAAAGGGAATATTCATGAGATAAAAGTCTGGCCCCTTTATCTCAAAGGAATAGGGGGCCAGCCCCATATACCGGAGATGAGAGGTTCAAACCTAACCCCTGGCCAAAGATTGCAAAACAAACAAACAAAAGTCTGGCCCCAAAAGCTAACTAAGGAAAAATGGAAATCATATATTTTATCCAAAAGGAAGAGCAAAGGTATGAGATATAAACATAGAAGATACTGAAATCTCTCTGAAGCAACACAATCAAATGGACAGTGACTCTTTTCTAGACGACAGATTACATCTCCTACAGGATATTAGTTAATTCATACTTTCGCCTGTCTACACAAGTGGGGATCCTCTGCTTTGACAGTCCCTGATTTGTTTCAGGAAGAGCTTTAATGGACAGGCCAAGGAAGAGGATTCCCCCACCGGTGACTCTGGCAGATGGCAGTGAAGTGACTAGTATGCACCTAAAGTAGGGTACGGACACCCATTCAGCACAGGTGCCAGGGGAGTAACGAAGCAATGTCAATGTCACTTAGACACATGGGGATGTAGCTGGAATGGACTATTCTAACTATGCCCAACTGTGGGTATTTTAATGGAAATAATTGAGTCCTCAGTGCTCTGTGACAGCAGCAAAAATGTATAAATAATCTCTAAGATATAAGAGACTATTTCCAGGTCTGTCACCTCTGACATTCACTGAAACAAAACACATAATTATTTCTACATATTAGGTACATGGTTCTGTTCCTTATACTATATACAATTCACTCCTCAACATGCTTTTAGAAAATATCATTTTAAATAAAGAAATATTTTCCTTTCTATTTTTAGTGCAAAACCCTCTGAATCCCACAGTGACAAATCTACATTAATTTTTAAAAGCGCTGCTATGACCCTACCAATCCCTGTGGCTCTAGGCCCCAGATCCTGTCCTCACCCAGTTTAACCTCCGCATTCTCCGTCAGCAGGACGTTCTGCCCCTTGATGTCTCGATGAATCACTTTATGCTGGTGCAGGTGGCTCAGCCCCTGGGTGATGAAGAGTTGAGACACACAGAAATTATTCTAAATGTTAATGATCAAAACCCAGGAAACCCACCTATCACATTTTTCAGAATTACATTCGCACCCTCCACCAGCTCACAGTGCTGTCTAACCCGCAGACAGTAAGGTCTAACCAGTGCTGTGCAGACCAATACTCGCATGTCTGCTGTTGGGCACCACACTCCCCGGGATGTGGTTCCAGTGTACACGGACTCCCGTCAGTGCAGCCCCTGAGACCTGAGGTCCACCCGCATTTGCTGGTTTGTGACATCTACAAAATCTCTGCGCAGAAAACTAACCCTCCCTTAACTGAATCCCCACAAGTTTGGGGGCAATATTTGAATTCAAAAGTTAAAAGTTACCCTTTGTTATACAATTTTAATTAAGCAGAGCAAAATATTGCTCAGACCAGCCAAGAAATTTCCCATTAACTTTAGCCAACATGGCTTACATCTAAAAATGAAAAGAATTTCTATTTCCTTTGTTGGCATTTGTCCCTGTCGTTTTTAGTGGCTTGTGATATTTGAGACTTTGTGTTCCTATGGGAGATATTTATTCAGGGACATCCAAACTGGACTGTGTCCCCTTTCTTCCTAAATTACTTTGACTGTGGCTTCTTTGTGGCAAGTTCTCTAAGCTACTCTGAGTGTCTAAGGTAGTCACATAGTAATTCAACGTATTGGGCATTCAAGTACTGTTATTTTGTTGTCTGTGATTTTCTGTCCTTTAAATTTTTCTCTGTAACAACAGAATCATGGTATGAGTAATGAGGAACTTCTTGTGACCAGAGGCCTTTGGGTGACCAGTGTCCCTCCCAGTGAGCCACCGTATCTGAGGTGAGTCATCATATCTGAGATGCTGGCATCATGTGGGAGAATGTACTGGAAGGAGGAAGGAAACCACTGTCTTCATACCTCTTACAATAAGGTGCTGGGAGATGCTCACGGGGTGAAACGTCCATTGCTTTTAAGACCCTGCACGTAGGATCAGGGAGGAGGCCATCCCTCATAGGGCAGAGAGGCAGATGGGCAGAGCCCACCTGGAGAGCTGAGGGATTATTAGCACCTGCTGGGTGGGCAGGCAGCTAAACAATCCGTACACTGTGCTTTGTCTGATGGAGTGAAATTTTAAGTCAGAAATTCAAATTATGTGAGCACGATGGCACTTTAAAACTTGGAGATGCATCTCAGACTCGAAAGCAGCCAGTGCCAGGGCTCCCTGACTCCCCCAAACTTTATTGTGTGTTCTATTTAACAAGCCTTTGTGCCTACCCTGAACAACAGAGGTCTTATCCTACATTTTCTCTTAAGAGCTTTAGTTTTTATATCTTTCTAATTTATATCTATAATCCTATAATCCAGCTGGGATAAATTTTGAATATGGTTTAAGTGTCAAGCTTCATGTTTTTATAGGACATTAATGGGCCAATGTCACTTGCTGGTGGGAGAGTGCCTGTCCTCATGACAGCAGCAGCGACCTTGTCACAAATCAGGTGTCCATACAGACCAGCTTGTGCCCAGACTCTTGCGGCTCTTCCTTTGGGCACTATCTAATCTTGTGACAATGCTACTTTGCCTTAATTCTTAGTAACTTTGTGATAAATCCTGGTAACAGGTAGCATAAAACCTCCAGCTTTGCTCTTCATCAAGATTGCCTTGGCTATTCTTGGCCCCTCACATTAAAAATAGGCTTTATCAATTTCTGTAACTATTCCTGCTGGGATTTCCATTGGGAGTTCAAAGAAACCGTGGAGCAAATTGAGAAAAAAATGACATCTTTACCATATGAATATTCCAACCTGTGAAATTCTACATACTTCCATTTATTGAGTTCTTCTCTAATTTCGCTCAGTTATATTTTGTAGTTTTCAGGGTAGGAATTATTCACATCATTACCATTTTACAATTTCATTTTCTATTTGTCTTTTACTTAATCTGATTTGCATTTAATGAATAGACATTATCTTTTTATATCTTCTCTCCCCTTTAATTTCCACTTCTTCATCCACTCATCCACAGCACATAATATGACTCTCAAAGGTGTATCTGAGACACACAGTGAAAAACAGTTTTAACTTTTATTCCCTTAAATTAACAAGGCACTGCTTATAAATAACGACTGCTAGGCAGATCCAGTGATGCTCAGTAGACATATAATAACCTCCATATCAGGAGGAAAAGGCAAGAAAACTAGTCTAAATGAACTAAACATGCACAATTACTTTCTTCCCCTGAATTAAGCTCAGCAAATATGAAGCTGCTATCTAGACTCCCTGCAGAATTTGTGGGCAAAGCTGGTGCGGTCTTGTCCAGGCATTCTGAGTAGTTCTGGAAGTTTTTTTTTTTTTTTAAACGTAAAATTAGTTAAATTAGGGTGTAAGTACAGAAATGCCTCATCACCCAATCCTCACAGACTTTCTTGCTGAGAAAGCATTACACTGTTAGTTACACTAGTACAATTTAACAAATGAATAATTTAAATAAATGAGTAAATATCTCTTAAAAGAATTCATTTCCTACATCGTTCAGATCTGAAATCAGATTTCTCATTGGAAACACCCTCTGAAGGAGAATCCTTTGTTGAGGAAAGTCATCCATGTCCACTCAGGTGAAGGTGCAGGCTCTCGTCCTAAAGGCCCTGTCCCACTCAGAGGAGAGACCTCTACACAGACCCTGCCTCCCAGACATCCTCATCTCCGCAGACTGTGCCCACCTCCACAGACCCGGCCCACCCCACAAGACCCTGCCCACCTCTGCAGACTGCACCCACCCTCAAGACCCTGCCTACCCCCGAAGACTGTGCCAACTCCACAAGACCCTGCCCACCTCTGCAGACCCCCACCCACTCTGAACAGACCCTGCCCACCTCCGCAGACTGCGCCCACCCAAGACCCTGCCCACCTCCGCAGACCCCCACCAACTCTGAATAGACCCTGCCCACCCCCAGGCCCCGCCCACTGCTGGACCCGCACTGAGCTCTCTCCAGATGCATCTTTGAGTTCCAGTGGGGGTTAGAACAAAGCCAACACCTGCCAACACCTGCATAGGCCCCTGTGCTGGGGGTGGCCGGACCACCACACCTACCCGCAGGATCTCTCGGCAGATGTACGCGATCCACTCCTCCTTCAACGTGTTGCCTTTTGTGTTCTTGATCAGGTCAGTGACAGACCCAGCACCACAAAACTCCATCACCAACTGCAAAGGAAGCAGATGAGCCATGTTAGAAGTGTGCTACAGTTTCCCCAAGGCTGGGCTAAGAGGTAGAAGATTTCAGTAGGCTGCCTTAGAAGGACACTCCTGCAAAGAAAATGTGATCATAAAACAGTATATAAAAGGTAAAGTTTAATCTTAATGTCCTCCCAAAATGACAGAAAGGAAAAACTACTTAAAAAAATTTTAAACTGTTAAGTTATGACTGGAAATGGAGAAAATATCTGTATTGTAAGTTAGTTTTTTTTAAAATGGAAGCAGGCAGGTCTCTTAGACAAAATTGGGAATATCCCTGTTTTTACTCAGCAGCAGAACTCACCATTTAGATAAAAGCATGATCGTTCCCCTGTCAGGTGCCATGGCCTGCAGGTATCCCAGCTCAGGGTGACAGAGTACACCCTGTGTATGCTGTTGGTTTGCAAGTGGCACGTAAGCTGTCAGAGTGGGGACTGTCTGTTGCTAATTAACTTCAGGAAACGTTCCCAGGAGGCTGAACACATCAAATAAATTCAATAAACAATAAACTCTAATTTAGCACCTTTCATCACAAAGCTCCAGGCACTGTATAAATATGAACTTGTTACTGTGCTCAGCAGCTTTGTAACATGGGCAGAAAGCCAACACTGCCCTCACTGAGCAGGGACAGGGAGATGCAGGAAAAAGCAATCTCTGTCCCTTCACACATGCCATCCGGGCTCAGGAAAACACCCATTTTATTATTTCTCCCTCCAAAAATACCTTCATCAGAAGTTATTTTATTATGTATTTATCATTTCTTTTGTAATCAACTGAGAAGAATTCAGAATGACCAGCAGTCAAGTACTGACTTGGTGCTTAAGACAGAATTCGAATGAGGCTCAGGGAATTCCCATGGTGCTCTGGGCTTCATCCGAGTGCACCTGCCAGAATGTCACCAGGTCCTAAAAGATGAACCTACCAGGCTATACAATTTTCCAGCAGAAATTGTACCTTCTTTTTACTGCATGCCCAGCATAAACTTAGTAAGGTCTCATGAATGAGTCTCATGAGTGAATTCCCAATATCTGTTCTGACGCTTCTTACAATCCCACAAAGGCTGGGGAAACACTCCCCTCTTCTCCAGAGAACTAACAGAAGCTACAAGACCTGTAAGCAGCTTTATTTATTTATTATTTATTTATAAGGGAATTTGGGAAGTGCCACAAATAGACTACATGGTAACCAAGTAAAAGCTGGAAAATTACCAAATGTAATATAATATAGCCCAGAAGCTATTGAAGACCATGAAATTATAAAAGGACTTAGAAGTCAATTTGAAGAGATACCTCATGGCCAAAGACAGAGTAATCTGAGCATCAACAGAAGTAATAACTGCAATGTCTAGAAATACATTAACTATGCTGAATTAAATGCCTCAATGAAGTCACCAGCAAAAAGAATAACTGGCATGTTGCAAGAAAATAAAGAACCAACTTCTTATTATTAGAACTAACAAATAAAGGGAAATTTGCCTTATACAAGTTTCATGCCTGGGTTGTTACCTGATATTATAATAATATTATAATAAAATAATATTATAATGAAAGAGGGTAAATTTCTCTTCATCAAAGCTAGCTATCCATCTACTAAATGAACAAGACATAACAATTTGAAAGTTGCTACTTTGCTGACCCCACTAAACTAACAGATTGCAGTAGGGATTGTTAATCCTGCCAACATAAAAAAAAAAAGAAAGAAACATAATGTGCCTCTTGATAAAAGAACACAACATTATATAAGTAGGCTTGCTAAAAACAGAAAACAAAAATCTAAATCTGATCAGGCCTCTAATTCAATTTGCACGAAACTTGGGAACATGGGGACATGGTCAGCTAATCTAGTCTGCAAACCAATTGGGTGAATAGTTCCTTCAACAAACACATTTCAAGGTAGAAAACAAGGGGATAAGAGGAAACCTACTGACTTAAAAATGCTTAAAAAGATACACCAACAAAACATAATGGATAGGCCTTATTTGAATACTGATTTTTTTAAAAGAGCTGCTAAAAATTTTGAGATAATTACAACTTTGGATCCAGACTTAGATATCTGGTGAAAGTATGAAAATGTGCTTAATGTTTTTACTTGTGATAACTGGAGTGGCTAACACTCAAATGAGAAGACGCTTGTGCATCAGTCACTGAAACACTAATTGAAACCACAAGGAGAGGCCACTTTACACCCACTACGATAACTACAGTCTTCTTTAAAAAGATAGAAAAACCACAAGGAAGAAAAAGGAGACTCATGCATTGCTGAGGGAACGTGAAATGGTGCAAACCGTCTGTGGCTCCTCAGTGACTCAGATGTACGACGAACTTACTCTTAGCAATTCTGCTTCTAGATGTACACCCCGAAGAATTGAAACTGGTACATGGATGTCTACAGCACCACAGTTCACAAAGGACAAAAGACAGAAATTACCAAAATGTCCATCAGCAGATGGCAGGAGGGCCAGGAGAGGTGTGGCTTTCGGAGAGAGGAAACTACTCCTGGAACTAGGTCATGGTGAGGGTTGCACAGCATTATGAATATCAGTGACAACCCTGAACTACATATTTTAAGGTGGTTAAAATTCAGATAAGTTTTGTGTTATGCATATTTTATCAGAATTTTATAAAATAAAATGATAACATCAAAATAACATTTGAGGGGAAGGTAGATAGGCTTGTAGACAGGGTGGAGATGGCCACAGCTTGATGGCTGTGGGGGTACTTGGGTATTTCTGATACTGTCCTGTCTTCTTTTGTGTATTTTAGGGAATTCTCCATAATAAAAAGTTAGAGAGAATCCCATTATGTAGTAAACCATGGTTCAGCACTGGCAGGAAACAAATACACTTTCAAAGAAAGAAAAGAATTATTTTCCCAAGTGAGCAAAATGTATTTGTGCCCTTTCTCCAAATCCAATTTTGAAAAGCACAGTGGCCAGACCTCCTGTGGACACATCCATTGCTTTTGGATCAGCTGGAGGAAATGTCCCACTGCTGAGCTTTATTAGGCCACATAATTACAGCTCCCAAGGAGAGAGCAATGCAAACCCAGCGACTCCAGCCTTTCAAAATTAGATTGCACAAAATACTTTCAAATATGCAGTAGGAAACAGCCCTACTCTGACTGGGCACTAATGCCAGTGATTTCTATAATTGGCTTGTCCATTCAGCTCCAGCTGAAGGCTGCTAAATACTTTTCATCTCACTATGGAACAAAATGATTGTTAAATTATATAATGGGATTTTTTCAAAAGGAAAAAGAAAGAAACCAGAACTTGGTAGCAATCGGCTCCCGCAGCCACACCCACGCTGACATCAGGGCCACACACAGCGGGGCTGCCCTCCCTACACACCCACATCATGTTTGAGGAATAGAAACCAGGCCCTGTGTGCCAGTGCAGTGACGAGCCGATACCTTCCCACCTCACAAGCAACAGATGATGGATCATCGATATTCTCCCTAATAGAAAGTTCTCTGAGAATTTACATTGGGGTAGTAAGATTCACTAACATGTACTGAGAAAGTGTTTTACAAATGTTGCTTTGCTAAAAATTCTTCCTCTCATTCCATTTATTTGGAAATGGTGCTTATTTACAGCCCGCAGCCTTGCCTGCCACTCACACTCAGTGACCACAGCAGGTGAGGTGGTCCAGCTCTCAGCCACCAGGCCCAGGCGGTTCCCAGGCCGCCCCACCCTGTGATCAAAGATGAGCATCACCTTCTCATGCTTGAGGTGAACACTAACTATATGGCTGGAAAGCCTTCGTTGGCAGAAATCTCGTATTTATTGTTTCCATTCCTCAGTCTGTTCCACACGTGCAAAAATGCAGAAAGGAAACAGCAGGGCTCCCAGGTCCACTCTCTGGTAGAGACCAGTTGACCATTCGTACGGGGCATGGACACATGCACCTCTGACTCTCTTCTTGGAGAAGCACGTGCCAGGGTAGAAGACAGAAGGAATCCTACATTTGGAGCTTCTGGAATTCTCACTTGACCCACTGAAATAAACACGTGGAGAGAGAAGGAAGGTCAAGCTGGAGGCGGGAAGAGGCTGAGCTGCGGCTGACAGGCAACAAGTGACTTATGAGAGAAAGGCCTTGCTGGGCTACTTGGACGTGGGTTAGTTATTTTTTTCAAAATAACAAAGGTCCATTTTTACAAGTAATGTGTTCTTACATATGTCACAGCTGGTGTGGCTGACTATCACTGCCACAGATTTTTGTCAGTTGTCTTCTGCTTCTAGCAAGTGGGATATTTTTTCTAGAGGCTGAGGGGCTGCTCATCCTGTCTTCCTGGGTGTCCCTGTCCATGGGACAGTGTTTAAGGGAAGAGTCTTCAGCCCCCATCAACCCCAAAAGATTCAAGACTCTGAGTCTGCCCCAAGCTGACCTCTTTGCAAGAGACAGGGGCCTCGGCATGGAACCACCAGATGGGGTCATTTCTGCACCTCCCTTTTCAGTGCCAATAACCTTGGAAAAATTTATAAAAGTCTATTCTCAGAGGCAGTCTGCTAGGCAAGGACAATTTCTGCAGTCCCTAAAGCATTAACTCACTTGCTAGTTAATTGGTTTTAAGTTTTTATAATGAGCTACAAAACCTTAAGATGGGATTTAAAAGCTGTAGACACTGACCCAGAATATCCTGACAGGACTCACTCCTCCTGGATGTTACCAGTCACCTGCAAGCGAACAGACTACTCTCAGTAAAAGGCAGGGAGGAAGAAGAAAACCCAGCAGGATGACAGAAGTCGTCCTAAAATGAGAGAAAATTCTACACCAAGCAGTTGAAGGGAGACTCCTAGGAACGGATGGGAAAGATAAACTTGGAAGAATTCACAGGCTGTAGAAGGGCAGCCTACTGACCTTGGACACCCAGAACATCAGGGAGGTGCAGGGTATTTTTAACACATGTGGCTGGAAATAGCCACAGACTTCATCTGCATGATTTATTAAAGTGTGAGCAAAACCCAAACTC